TCAATACTCCTGTAACAATAATCCTTCATAATAACAATAATCAGCATTTAATATTACTTTGACACAGAAAGTTCATTAAGATAGATTGAAATCAAATTTAATACAAGAGCATCGTTATATATATTGATTTGGTTTATTGTTAGTAACAAGTTCTGTCACAAATAAAATCTACGGTTCAGTGAAATTACCGCAAGATATGTTAAAGCATTTTTATGATTTGAAATAGCAAATTTTGCTAATGTGCATCTACTATGAATATTATGAACTGGAAGAATTAAGTCTTGTCCATCTTTATAAAAGCACTCTTTCCAAAGTTCAACATTGCAATATTTTTCTTGTTGATTAGGAAATAGCCAAAACCTTGTTTGTGCTTCCTGAACTGGTTCGAACCAATTAATATATGCAAGATGGTGAACTTTTGAACAACTATTAATAGATAGTTCATATTCAAAATAAAAGCTAATATGACTTGGATATATGTAAACAGAATTATCGGAGGCTAGGTACTTTGTATAGATATTTGCATTATTTAAATATTTCTATGACATTGCCGACCTGAAAATTTCTGTACCAATTTGTAAATGAGCATATTGATTAATATATGGAGTAATTACTATACTGTCTCTTGAACCAGGTGTAAGGGATGACCGATAAGTTTTGCCATATATATTACTGTACCATTTTGCTAGTTGTTGCAGAATTTCTTCAGGCAATCTAACTTGTTTTCCTATAGGTGAAAGTAGTGTTCCTGGAAATGGTTCAGTTCCTTTAGCTGCATTTTTATATTTGTTGACATTTATATAAATCTTTCTAAATCAATTTGTTCTTTTTCTTCAGTATAAAGCAAACTTCCCGAAACTTTTTGAGGCTTAATTAGATCAAAAGCTGCAAATGACTGAGAGAAATTTTGCAATTGACTTAAGTGCTCTTCTATGATAAGATTTTGCATCATAATACGCATTATTTCTGGCTCTATTTAACGTCGACTATTGGGAAAAGAGCCTGTATTGTAATAAATATTACATTAGTGATAATTGTAATATTAATTTAAGGAAATGCCTATTTCTACAA